TGTTTACAGTTTTTCCGTAGGATAGGTCTGTCGCGTGTACACGTGGTGTGCTTCGGCAGGTTAAGCGCTGTTGTCACGTTGTGATGAAACTCCCTAATATTAATACTCGCTGTATTTGGAAAACTGTTAATCTTTCGCCTCTGTAATATACAACTTTTTTGTTCATTTCTGATTACTCTATCTGATGCTGAAGTAATGGCACTCAAACTTCTTACGCCCTGTATAGAATGTCCCATCAGGAACCGCCATTATCGATATCTCGGAAAGCCAATTAAAATAATAATATAGGTAATTTAAATGATCCCCAGGCATTTTTATTTCATATTTTCGGCAAAAACTATTATTGATTTAATAATAATTTTGACAACTAACTTGACAAATATCAAGTTATTTTAATTGTTTTTGGAAAGTCTCTGGTCATAGCCAATTTGATAATAGGTTCGATATAAGGAAAAATTGACCAAAAAATAGAAAATTGCAAATATCTTTATATGGTTAAAAAGGAAATTTCAATCTGCATAGGACAGAGTACACAAAAATACAGGGTGTTCCATTTAAGTTAACAAAGTTATAGCTGTTTGAAGCTATCAAAATGTAACAGCAAAAATGAATCACCTAGTATTAAATGTTACAATTTCTTAGTAAACCATAATTTAGTGTTACTTATACCCTTTACATGTGCCAAAAATCCACTTGATATCACTCTCCTGAAAAGAGTTACTAGCATCCCCTCGGACCCTTGCATCTGTCAAATTTTTCCTTTAAAAATTAATATCTCAAAATCTATTACTCTTAGGTATAAGGAATATTTAACAAAGTGACACTCAGAGATACAGGTTGTCCCATTTAAAATAAGAAAGTTAACTTTCGGTATAATCGCAAGTGCCACAAAGTTCTAAATATTTTAGCTCTGTTGGCACTACTGCCTTTGCTAGGTTGCCAAATTTTCAGATTTATCGGATCAGTAGTTTCCGAGATATCGATAATGGCGACTGCTTTTGGAATACGCTGTATATTATCAAATTTTTTATTATAACAATAAAAGGTACTTCTTACTATTAATTTATATTGCTTTGAAAATGATACATTTTATAGTGAGTAATCTGGCTACTGTTAGATGAGTTTATAATTACTGAACAACATCCAAGATTAAAATTAATGTTATTAATTCAAGTAAATTAGAAAAAGATTGATTAAATTTATATTAGGTATTACATTTATAAATAATTACAAATTTTAGTTATTATTACGAATATTTTGCATAAATAAATGATACATTTGTCTCAAAATATACAAATCTATCACTGTACCATGAATCTTGTACAAAACATTCATCATATTTTCTTTTTCTTATTTACTTTATTGAGATACGATTGTCAATTTATATAATCTGTTAAATTTTTTGAATCCGAGGTAATGTAACTTGATTTCCACGAACATTTTATGAGAAAAGCATGTAAANAAAATGATACGCCACTGCATTTTTGAAAAACAAAAATTATTGTATAAATGGTGCTTTATTTTGTAATAAAAAAGATCGCTTGAGTTTTTTTCTTATCTTGCACTGTTTTTTAGTAAAAAAATATAGAACAACATACTAACCCACATTGAGCCAAACAGAAAGCATGATATAAAGATTACCTATTAGGCTGTGGTTGTTGATTACTGTTGTGATTTATTAATTTTGACAGTTCAGTTCATTCAACTCAATTTTGATACTTAAAATACATGTACAGTGTTATTTGATAATGGTTGAGTGGTCCAAAATGTCTGTGAAGTTATTTTAAAAACGTATATTATGCACAACATGCTGAGTGTCCCACGAATTCGAATTTTATCAAGGTCAAAAGGTCACAAATTGCATTTATCGCACCCATAGGTCATTTGTCAAGGTATAACATACAAAAAAATTTTCATGAAAATCAGTTTAGTATTGCACTGTCGGCAGAATTTTGTCCAAATGGGCACACTGTGCGACGTGACGACGTGACGACTTAAGAGCCTTCACCTCGCGGCAATTTCATGTTATTCTTTTTGACGATTGTGGTGCGTGTAGTAGTCGCGGATGATTTATCTTCTCCCCGGATGCTCTCTCATACACAATCGAGATGCCTCCTGCGAGTGTTGTATCAAAATTTTTGGTGATCCCAACACGCCTAATACCATATATTCAACCGTGGTGGTTTTTCAGAGCGGTTCTGTAGTTTTCATAACGTTTACCGCGTGTGAGATATTCTTCGTTTCGGTAGAAGTGATTGTTGAGGGGTGTAATGTGGGGGACTTAATGCAAATTATGTTGTATGATGAAGCTGGTGATTTGGATTTAGTGGTACATTTTTATTTGTGTGAAGAAGAGGATTGTGTGCTGGTAGAGGTTGATATAAGAGATGAGTGTGGCGTAATGATATCGTGTATATTAAATGCGTCAGAGGACTATTACCTATCAGGTTTTCCCCATGAGGATTTGCTATTTCCACACCACCTCGGAGGTAAGCTCACGGTGCTTTGCTTTTTTTATAGTGGAGGCGTCCCCTGTAGGCCTACAACCACCATCTAACCACTTAGTCCAACTCGTAAAGATCTGCTGAGCCTATCACATCCAGCAGATCTTCCTCCTCCTTAGCCTGCTCGTTATCATACTCCTCCTCATCCTCCTCCTTATCCTCCTCCTGCTCCTTTGGCTCCACTACGCTAGAACTTGTTGTGTGTATTACTTTAGATGTTTTTTTATAAATTATACATACTTACTTTTCTGGGACCATTTCCTCTTAGCATCTGAAAAATAATAATATTAAATTCTCTACAGTTTTAATCTTTTTATTTCTGACCAGGATATTATAAGATTATATCGTCATAGTTACGCTATCAATAGAGAGTCATAACTCCCTTGGGACATTATAGATTCTATAATTCCCTCTACCTTTCACAAGTAAAAATAAAATAAAAAACGCTAATATACATATATGTGTATATATTTATGAGATGAAAACTGAACCATATTTTATTTATTTGCGTCATTACAAATAATAAATGTACAATTTTGAAATGTTCCCTGAAAATTACTACCGCCACTGGAAACAATTTCTTCTTTTGTATGGCTGGAGCTTCTGTTCACTACAGTCGAGGTACCTGCCTCTTCTAATGGCAAAGTAGACAACATACGTGCCGTTTTATTTCTCAATTCGATGCTATCCTCCAGATACCCCTCCGCCACCGTGGAACTTTTCCAACCTCCGTGTCTTTTTAAGTTAGTCATAGTTGCTCCTGCATTAGCTAGATCAGTAGCAGAAGTGCGACGAAGGCAATGTCCCGTATAGGAAGATGGGTTTGGCAATCCTAAATACATTGCGATTTTGCTGGGAATTTTCCCAAACATGTTTTTTTCCAATTGGCTGAGATGTACATTTATTTTGTCGGAATCGCAAAAAAATCGTTCAATACCTTTAGGACGCAAAGACATATAAAGTCTTAATAAAGGCAAAGCAGAGAACTCTTTTTCATCCACAATTGTAAATTTCTTCGATACACTAGTTTTACTTTCCGGTACGTTCACTACCATAACGGAATCCCGATCCTCTATATCCGATATCTTCATATTCAAAAGTTCCTGACTTCTGCATCCTCCAAAATAACCCATAATCAAAACAACCTAAAACAAGAAAAGGAAATAAATACACACAAAAAGGAAAATAAGAAAAAAATTACCTTATGCAATAAATGAATTTTATTAGGAGCGTTCTTTAGAAATCTGATAACATCATTAGGAGATAAAACAGCAGACTTTTTCGGCTTATAACTCTTACTCTTCCGTTTCAAAAAAGCCTCTAGTTCATTGAACTTGGCGATATCTCGTTTCTCATGTATATTCACCTTCGATTTTAGCATTGACCATTTAGACCATAAAGAATTCGGACTATACGTTTCTGACTGCAACGAATAAACAAAATTACTACCAAATCTACCGAAAAACATAGAATATTCCTTACCAATTCTTGAAAATATGCCAGTAATACAGTTTCAGTGGCATCTTTTGGCATAACATTATTCCGTGTCAGCCACTGCAGATATATCTTGTATTCTTTTTGGTATACGGCTTCACTTTTCGATGGAATTAATGATTCTCTTGCTTTTTCAGCTTTTTTCAAAATCTGCTCCATTATATTTGGGGTAGAAAACACGTTTTTAACGCAAACACAGCTTGATAACAAAGTTCTGTTTATAAACAAGTAACAATTCTGTTTATAAACACGTAACATAGCAACAACCTAGCAACAACAAAACTCTTATAATCAATGGTACCTGATTCAAATATACTGGGACGGTAATAAATTGGTACATTTTTTCCGTTTTAAAAATAAACAATATTTTAATGAAATCGGTCAGAAATAAAATTATCTATGTACCACGGGAATTAATGAGCCTTAATAACCTCAGGCAATTGCTGTCCCTCGGGCCGGACGCCCTCGGGACGCAAAATTTGCCATCGGTAATTAAGGCCCTTATAATTCCCTAGATACATGAATAACTATTATACTTACTGCAGGTCCAATATAATCGTTCCGTCGTAGCTAAAAAATGAATGTTTTGTGATGATAGCTTTTTTATTTAAAACTTACAGATTTCCTGGAATTTCCCCGTATTTTTGATAGTGCCTGAAAGCTTCGATTAGACTGATTTTTTTTTTAAATTCATATACTTACTCGACGGTTTCTTTGCAGAAACAGAAACAGCTGCCGCACACCGCGCAGTAGTAAGTCCAAATGGATCTACTGCGTGTGGTTCGTGTAGAAACAGTTAAAGTGTCTCCCTACTGTAATCATGTTTTTACCGTAAAAGACTTTAGGAAACATTTACGTAAACACCGATATTGCGTGGCGTGTAAAAGGCGGTTTTATAAAATTCATACCTATAAAAGACATATGCGCCAACACCACACGACGTTAGTCCTTTTTCTGTCTGATTGGAAATATCCTTTTAATTATTATTATATTTTCAGGTAGTTCCTGTCTGCAGTGGACGTGACGTCGCATGGCCAGTGTTCATCGCGCAAGAGACGTGTACAGCGTGGAATGCGTCAGGTATGTGTACTTTAGGGTTTGGGTACTAAAATGATCTTTTTGTATTCGTACCTTTCCAAAGTTCCTCTTAATTCCTCGATGTAATGACTAGCTAGTCTTTCCGCAGATGAAAAGTAGTGTAGATATCGATCACAAAAATACTATTTTTTGCACGATTTTTGCTAAGTTGTGAAGAAAGCATCATCGACATCGTACATATCTTGTATTAAAAGCAGGTTGACGTGCTTATCTTTTTTGTTCTTCGTCAAATAAACTGGGTGTGTAGTGAAGTTCTTTTTGAGGCAGTATACGTTGATGGATACATCGTTTTGTTTCTCAAACCTGGGTTCTCCACGATCTCTCCAAACTCTAGCTTAACGTACTCCCAGCGTACTCGATGACTTCGGTTATCTTTATGCCCCGCGCCTGTATGTTCCTGTCAGAGCTCGTTCTTAACTAAACTCTAAATACCTAAAATACCCCTAAACTCCAAAACTCGCATTACCACATTCAACGANGGCTTCCTAAGTTGAGGGCTTCCTTTAAATTACGATAATACAGAAGCTTATTATGAAGATCGTGTAAATGTTCTGGATATTTAAGGTCTACTTCTAACATATATCCTACAGACGACGTGCCTGATACTGTTGTTACGCCGATTCGTGATATTTTCCAACATGAAAGTCGTACACACAAGTTTTTGATATATCCATCCCAAACATACAGTCTTGCTTAATTCTACCAAATGTCCTTCTGTCTACTTCCTCGTTGAAACTTCGTCAGCTTATAATCTCTAAGACGGTAGTGCTTTTCATGCGCTTCAAAATTTGCCAATTTCTCCTTTATTTCCACATACACCCAATTTAACAAGTAGTTTCCAAGCGGACGCCTTCTTTACTCTCAATTCCTAGGATCATCAGCCTCTATGAGATTGCGGTAACCAACCNCACGACCTCGTAACCCAGCTCCTGTAGCCTTGAGGTCTTTGCAAGGGAGGCTTCGAGGTGAGTGGTTAATGTCTGAGAAGGATCTTCAGGCATAGGAGCGTCTCGACTGTGCTTGTAACAAGTTTTGAACAGAAAAAGGAGTAACGTCGTGTGGTGTTGCCTTAGGCAACTTGGACAGCGCCATGGGAAAGTAGTTGAGACTGTCCAGGAACTTTACGTTCCCCACCACCATGGAAATAATTTGCCTTCTGTTGTCTAGTCTCGGGATCGTAGAAGGCAAAGAGAAGGTCGTCTGTCTTTGGCTTCCCCTGTGTTGGGCTGCATATAGAACAGGTGACCTGTGGGGACGTGGGCATCTACACAGTGGGGAGCCGTCATCGTTTTTGAAACGCTACACATTCCATATTTCCATATATTTTTCCATGGTTTTCCCAAATGTAGCGTTTATTAACAACTTGTACAAATATTTTCAAAGTCGTTGATCGACTGCGCGTGAAGTTTGGTATTTAATTCTATGTAGTCCCTCAACCATTCTGATTGTTTGAATTTTAACACGCGGTGAAGTTTTAAGGCTTCCTAAGTTGAGGGCTTCCTTTAAATTACGATAATACAGAAGCTTATTATGAAGATCGTGTAAATGTTCTGGATATTTAAGGTCTACTTCTAACATATATCCTACAGACGACGTGCCTGATACTGTTGTTACGCCGATTCGTGATATTTTCCAACATGAAAGTCGTACACACAAGTTTTTGATATATCCATCCCAAACATACAGTCTTGCTTAATTCTACCAAATGTCCTTCTGTCTACTTCCTCGTTGAAACTTCGTCAGCTTATAATCTCTAAGACGGTAGTGCTTTTCATGCGCTTCAAAATTTGCCAATTTCTCCTTTATTTCCACATACACCCAATTTAACAAGTCCAAGCGAACGCCTTCTTTACTCTCAATTCCTAGGATCATCAGCCTCTATGAGATTGCGGTAACCAACCCATTTGGAGTAGAGGCTGCTGCCATTATTAAACCTCTACGAAATTGCGGTACCTAATCCCTTTGGAGTGGAGTTTAAATATTTTTTCGTTTAGTCTTCTGTTGTTGTCTGATTTGTTTTTGCTTTCTTATCTATATCTTTGAATTTATTGACCAACTGCTATCACGCTCCTGGAAAGTGAAAGTGTTCACTGTGATCTTCCTTCTCTTTTTCTCACTCTATTTCTTGTGGGCTTCCTCCGCGACACTATTTCATTGAATCCCATTATATGGATCTTGTCTTCTTTTCTCAAGTCACCTAGTATGTTTGTCATTGAGGTTTGTTGGCTTTCGTAAATGACCGATATTAGTCTCTAGTTTTCGTCTAATCCCAATTGAATCAAACGTCTTATTGCCTTTAATAGGTAGCCGTATTTGCCGATTAATTAAATTTGTTCATTACGTTTATAACTTCCAAACGTTCTCCGTTTTAATTATTTCGATAGTATTTTCAATTCCAAGTCGTAGAATTACTTTTTGTACACATACTGAGATTTTTTCTCATTCAGTGCCTCTTCTCTAGGTCCCTCCCGGACTACGTCTGCCTGCAGGAAGAAGAAGCAATCATGTGACAACGCCTGGATTTAAAAGGGCTATAATTATTCCGTCTCTGTTGCGATAATGTAATAAACTATTATTCACAGCCTTAGTTTTCTTGATACAGTTGCAATATTTAAAACTAATAAGTGGGCTTTAATACGAATAACGTGTAATATGTCTTGAACATTTGAGATTTAGATGAAGTGCCCCTTTTTAATGCATTCCAACAGTTTAAACACTTTAATATCTATATTCTATAATTGGTTAAGACGCTACCGATAACTACAGCCTCAAACGCTAGTTATAATACGACGTTATTAGACCCATAACACCAAGTACACCACAAACGTCAGATTAGGTAATCATACGACGTTATTAGACACGTCTACTGATAACGCCAAGTACACCGCAGATTACGGTAATCATACGAACCCGCCTGACGTCATCTACTGATAACGCCAGTACACCGCAAACGTATACGACGTTATTAGACCCATCTACTGATAAGCGCTTGCCGCGCTCCATCACCAAGCGTGGGGCCCTGGGGCGAAGCTCCTCGCGGGAACCTAACTCCGGCATACCTACCAAAGTTCTAGGTGGCCACATTTTGAATTTCCAACCATTTTTCCCGCCAAAAAATGCTGCGCTCTGATTGGCTGGCGGTGAAGGGGATGGGGAAGGGAAAAAGAGGAGGAGTGGGGGTGGTCTCAAGTGCCCCATTACCTACTCTCCCACAGTTTTTGAGATATTTAGCTCAAATTTGGAATATAGGTTACGCTGTAGGGCTTACATCATTGGACATGCCAAATGGTCGTGATATTCTACAGTTTATTCGTCACTACCTGTTAAAAATTAAAGCTGGGATGACCCATTTCAAAATTCGTAAAATTTGGCATTGTTATGAGATTATAATGAGTATTTAAAACACTTTACACATTACAGTTTGTAACATAAACCTTTAATTTTTAAACATATGCAGACCCAAGTTACTATTTCAAATGCAAACTATCAAAATTAATAGAAACAAGTAATTATTTAAATAAAGCCAGAGCCGACTGGACCATTTTAGGAATTTAAATTTCATTTAACGAATTACATAAAATCGTTTTTTATTTTTTTCCCCAATAACGGTCGCAGATACGAAAAAATCATAAGAGGCAAAAAAGTTTCTCAACAAAACATAAAATTCAATTTTGATTTTAGAATCTACCAGCGGCGCACCGCACAAAAGTTCAGGGGAAGAAAAGGAGGCATGAACCCCGAAAAAATATCACTCTGTAGAATATCACGACCATTTGGCATGCCCAATGATGTAAGCCTTACAGCGTAATCTATATTCCAAATTTCAGCTGAATATCTCAAAAACTCTGGGAGCTATAGAGAAAAAACTAAAAAAATCTTGAAATTTCAACACCCTGTAGATCGGTAACGATGGGTTTGCGGACCTATGTTTATATGGACTTTTAGTCATGAAATAAGCCAAGGAATTACCCCCTTCCTTATGTACTTGATATTTAGGAACACCCTGTATATTTGACATTTATTAAATACTTTTTATGGGGATACTTTTTTCGGTCACATTTTCAACCATTAAATCAAAAGTATAGGCGTCAATGGACATCTCATATAATAATTTTTTAAAATACTCATGGAATTGCAAAATTTTTATTATTCTTTATTTTTTTGTCCTAAAACCTACAGTTTTCAATTAAAAAGCAATTATTTTAAGATATTTTTTATATAATACAAACAAACCATCATGGAAGAACATAAACCACGCGAATACAATGAAAAACTCGTGCTTTATCTACCGATAACTCCTAGAAGCTTTGCAAAGATCTATATGCGATACGATCTCGATGGCATATATACAGAAACATTTTTTGGGGCCTGAGCCACTAGATTATTACTGAAAACAGAGATTAGAGATATGCCCCTCATAAATTTCTTTTTTATCGGCCGCCTTTTGCAACGGATATTGAAAATGTGCGAAGTCATTCAAATTCAGATCGCATCTCGGCTAAAATTCGTTGTAATGGAAAAACTCATTGATATCTATTTTCTGTTCGTTTTCTAGCACGTCGTATTAGTTATTCTCGCCGACAGAGATGTGATTTGTGTTCGTGCGACTAGCGGTGCTGAGAGTTACGTTTGTATGATTTAACGTTAAATCTAAATCAGAATAGATATGTTTACATAGATCTGTCAAAAGTGAAAATTTTGTATACAATTTTCAGTGTAAGAAATTGGCTTTTATAAGAGCATGTGCAACAATAGTTATTTATTGTATAATTGTTTTAAGTAGCATTTTATTGACGCAAAAATGTTTAAACCAGAGAACGTAGTTCGAGCGTTTAATATTCTTAAGTGGATGAAAAGCAATTAAAATACGAGTGCAATACAACGTTTTATTCATAATCACATCACAATCATATTTGTGGAGTCAGGATTATTGGAATTTAATAAAAACATATTCTCACGACTTGATATTTCTTACTAGTACTCACTGAAAAGTGAATTTGGTAAAAATGCAAGAAAGTAACTGTGTTCCTGTGGCTGTTTTTGAAAAAGCTCAAGAAGCAATTTTCCATTTATTGACAGCCAGCGAAACCCAGGTAACATTACGAAAAAGTGTTCGCCGAATTTAGCGAATGAATAGAAAAAAGGAGAGTAATGACAAAAAATAAAGAAGTCATGCTATAGTATTTTTCAAATTTGAAGAAAAAATATACAATTTCATCTACAGTGTGTCCCGTTTTTCATATTAACACCTCTGGAAATGTGAGAATGAATGAATACATTCTACTAATAATTTTATTGACGTCACAAAAGCCTGGCTTACTACGATTTTTTAAAACGGGTCATTTTTCCAGAAAGTAGTATTAGACATTTTTTTTTATCAAAAGTATAATATTACCAGACTATTCAACAACCATCAAAATACCCATATACCAAATTTGAACGACAAATATCTATTGAGTGTTTTGTTATGTGGCGCCAAACTTCGAAAAATCAGACTAAAAATTATAACAAGCAGGTCAAAGATTGCCGTGAAAGTGAAAACAATTTTTTGTTTAACAACTTAATATTTATAATTCATTATCTACATTTTTTGTACGTTAATTATTATTATTTTTATGGTGGCCGCAATTAAAAGTGTTAAATTTATAGTGCCTGTATTTTTTCTTTGTCCGATTGGTATTTGTTTTCACTGTCATGACAATCTTTGACATGCTTATTATAATTTTTAGTTGTCTGATTTTTCGAAGTTTGGCACCATATAAAAAAACACTCAATAGACATTTGTTGTTCAAATTTGGTATATGGGTATTTTGATGGGTGTTGAATAGCCTGATAATATTATCTTTTTGACAAAAAAATGCCTAATACTACTTTCTGGAATAACGACCCTTTTAAAAAATCGTAGTAGGCCAGGATTTTGTCACATCAATAAAATGATTAGTAGAATATAACGTCCCTTCAGGGTACTATTACCATATGTAAAAAAAGTCCGCAGCCTTCTCACATTTCCAGGGATGTTAACTTGAAAAACGGGACACACTGTATGTGGTTGAAGTATTCGATATTGAAGGCCTGCAAAAATATAGGTATTGGAAAATATAACAAGTTTACTGCTCATTTGAAGAGTGAATAGAGAGGATACAAAGCAAAAAAGCTGCAGTATTGGAAAGAGCACATATTGACGAATTTTTGACTGGGGCTTCCGATGATGAATATTTAATGATTTAGATAATATCTTTTTACCTTTTACATGTTGTTACAGTAAACTTTGATTTATTTTAGGTTGCACTAATAATGGCGGTTTCTGGTGCCTGTCGATGGTGCGATTCTGGTACCTGTCGATGGATTGACAAATTTGAAAATTAGTGACGTACAAGACGTTGGCAGTTACCTAGTTGTTTCAATACCTGACACCAAGACGGGCATTTCAAGAAAATTTACAATTATAGAAGAAGGATTTTGCATGAGTGCTATTGAAATATGCAGAAAATATATTTCTCTACGCCCAATTTGCCTAACACAAGACAGATTAATTTTAAGATACATCAATAAAAAATGTACTTCTCAGCCTGTTGGAATCAACACGTTGGCGAAGGTACCCTCAATAGTTGCTTCATTCCTGATTATCGCAAATCCCGAAGCATATACTGGCTATTGCATTGTATGAGGCGCATTTCAACAACTTTAATGGCCAATAAAGGTGGTGATCCTACAACCATCAAACGGCATGGTGGATGGAAGGGGTCCTCTGTAGCAGAAAGTTATATTGAGGAGTCTATATCTAACAAACTTGATATTGCAAGGTAACTTGTGCAAATTCTTTCACAAACTTCGGCAGATGTTATGCGTTCCGAAAATGATAGCAACAATGCTACAAGGTTTGTTATTAATGGAAACGAATTTAGATGTGATAAAACAAAAAACGAAATGTCTATTACTGTAAATGTAAATGTTAATGTTAATAAGTAAATAAATTAAATAATTATTTATTATAGGTTTATTATTTTTTCATTATTCTACTAGTGAAATAAAGTTACTTTATTCCACTAGTGGATAAAGTATCACTTTAGACGTTACATAAAAAGTCCAATTAAAAGGTGATTGTGGATAAAAGTTTTTATTACACGATTTCAATGAAATTGAACATTTTTGTTTTTTATACTTTCAAGAATTATTAAAAAAAAGAGAGGCTGAAGAAAATTCCATTCCATTACAAAGTTATAGCAAAGTTACCTGACTAACTGCCGCGCCCATCAACAGCTGACAAAAGCCAGAATTAATACAAGAATTTAAATAACAATAACATCAAGATATAAGAGGAAGAAGATGTACAGTACGAAACTGGCATGGAAGGCTTGCTGTAAGTTCACTTTTTATCTACCCGAAACTTTAAACGCGTTTTTATCAAAACTCAGCCAAATTTGTATATTTCTAAACGTTTTTAAAATCTAGATAATTATTTTTTCCATCTTATAGTCCGAAGAGATTTTTTTTTACTTTTTGATTGGATATTTTTTGATAATTAGACATAAATTTTTCGGTCGAAAATTGCACATTAAAGATTGAAATCGTATTTTTTTA